TTCCTTATTTGTTTTTCAAAATTACTTCATCAATATCAAAATATATCAACAATTTTATACATTAAAATTTATTCCTCTTATTCAAGTAATCAAATACNAATATATTAAAAATTTTATACATTAAAATTTATTCCTCAATTCAATCAAATACTATTCTCTTTTTATTACAAACAAACATTTATTTATATTTAAAACATTTTATGAGTGTGATTAGTATCATGTTCTGCTTTATATTTAAAATCATTGCAGCAATTTTCCCTTCTATGTAATATTTTTTTTTACAAAACAATTGGAAATAAATATCAAATTAAGGCAGTTTACTATAGATTTTAGAATTAGATACTAGTTCACAACCGGGAACTGGTAGAGTAGTGGGTTTAACACTTGTAAAGCTTGAGTGATAGTGATACTGTGACTGTCAAGTTTTAGTGTAAATGATTTAATAATTATTAACCTGATCTAAAACTGAAATTGTCAGATATTGTGCCTAACTTTGAATTGCTCTGTTCTATCAAACAGCCACAAATATCCCATTAAAAGTTTTTCGAAATGTAAAACATAAGAACCAGTTTGTTCAAATTTTATTGCTTTTTTTACCTGTCATTAACGACTACATAAGGGGTTCGTCAATTTTTTTCGGACCTTTCTTTTGGTTCGCGAGGAAAAAAAGGTTGGGAAACACTGGACAATTTACGTAGGGGGGGGGGGTGAGGAGTCAAGGTCATACGTGGGATGAGGGGATCATAGATGAATTTTGTCTCTCTTAACCTCCAAACCTAACAATGAGGAGGGAAGCAAAATGTAATAAAATTACAAGACGGGAATATCAGACAAGAATATTGGAGGAAGAGAATATTCAATATATATAGAAAAAAAATAGAATGGGAGGGAAAGGGAAGAGGTAGTAAAAGATTTAGAAATTAATCAGGAGCAGTTAAATGAAAGGGAAAGAAACGGTTGGAATATAGCGAAAATGGATATTTGTGTGACAACAGCAACTAAAATATTTTCCTCATTAATCTGCGGAAGTTTATAGTGGATAAAAAATCGAAAAATGATTTCAAATTAATATTGCATATTAACCACTATTAGTAACTAACAATGTCATAGGGTTTCATATATTTGGTTAAAAAGAGATATGAGGAAATGGTAAGAGGGAAAGACTTGAGAATAACAGCAGAGTCGAAATAAGCGATAGGATTAAGGAATGTGTTATGGGATGATTGGTAGGGAGACATAATACCAAGATGTTTAAGAAGATGAAAAGAAATATGTAAAGATTTAAGCAGGATTTGAAGTAGGAAATGAATGTAAAGGATGTAAGTATTGAATGAAAGACGAAGATAGAAAATGTAGATTGTGTGGAATAAAAGATGAGCATCTAATGCATGTTAGGGGGGTGAGGGTTAAGAAACGTAGTATTGGTTTGGTAAAAGATGATGGTACGGGTTGACCCTGGTAAAGGAAATGTGTTTGACTTTTCTTTTATATCTTATTGTATGCACTTACTTTGATGTGTGACTTTTAAGTTAAAATAAAGCTTATACAATAAACAAATAAAATGGATATTTATGTTACCGCTTTTCAATATCATTATCTAATATAAGTATAGGTACATTGTAAAGCGAAAATCTAAAACCATACATTAAAGATAACTATGTTAAAACGATAATAAAATCAATAAAATGGTAGCTTATTACAATACTGAGACTTTAGATATATTTACGTGTACATTGCATCTATGTATAAACTAATATACTTCACTTTAGATTAATGTTTAATATATTAGGGCAGATCAATTCGATCGGAAAACAGGAAATACCTTTAATTGGAGAAATAATCTATGGAAGATATGCGCAAATTAAAAATTGATAGTTATATTTATTATATGAGGTACAAACTAGGGATGGGCCGAGTCCCCCGTTCAAATCTGGTACCCGGGTAACTCTACCGGATATAAATGAAAAAACAAACATCAGCAATAACAATTTAATAAGTATAACAAAAAACCTACCTATTAAAAATTGGTAATTAAAATTGTATTGGGATTATCCGGTATCGGGCAAAATTACTATCCGGGGCATCTCTAAACGTTCAAGTAAATAATGATGCGAAAAATGGTTGTAATGATGTACTTATTTGAAATAGAATATGCCAAATATAAATCCATCCATTACTTTACATTTAAATACTGATGGCAACCAAAGGTACTAACCATATCCAAATATTGGCCCTACGTAATATTTAGATAGTGACTAGTAAAATAGAAGCCCTATGCAATCCATTAATATAATTCTGTAAGAAACACTGTGATTTCAAACAAAATTAAGACATTAAAAAAAGTATTTAAAATAGAAAATAAAAAGTTGTTTTGTCATCGTGTTTGTACTTTAAAAGAAACAATATCAAATAAAATCATAACTACAAGAAAAAATTCCCTTTGCAATCATTTCAGCACAGAAATAATTATATTGACCGTTTTATTTTTTCAGATTATAAAGAGTTATCAAGTTTATTAGTTAACGTTCTTAAAAATGCATAACCTTAATTATCTTNTACACATTCCGTGACGGCTGCCCAAACGTTGCCCTTGTGGCGACAGAGAGCATCCCTGGCTTCTTTCTCAGAAACGGTCCCAATTATGTTAATGGGACCTTCACGACCAACTTGGGTGGACATCGTCTGAACACTCGCTACAGTGGCAGTCCAGTGCTGTCGCAACCAATCGATAGGATTCTGATTACCACAATGGATTAATGCGGCTTGAACCTCATCCGCAGTATATTTGAAATGTTCAGCTTCCTAAAAATTAAAAGAGTAAAATTATTTAATTAATCTCAATGTAAAATAGCGGATTATCTTGTTAGACTAATTATTTCTATTTAAATATGTTAAAGAAATATAAGTAAGAAAATTACAGATTGTCTGGAATTAGAATCTCTGTGTGTTTCTAAAAGGAATAGGTTTACGAGAAGACTAATTAAAAAAATTCAAAATAAGACAGAACTGACTTCTTTTCAAGCTACTGTTGAGTATTCATAATTGAATACTAACAGTGTTATCAGATGTACCTATACATATAAAATTGCAAAATTGAATGGAATAGCGCATGCCTATTAATTTTTGATTTATACTGACTAAATACTATCTATTTTTAAAAATAATTCTTGAATTAAATTACATACCTTAAATACCTTACTGAGTAGGTATTACACTTTATTGTCATTTTGCAATTAATAAAGCTGCATTATTTAGGTACATCAGAAATAGATTTATCGCAAGGCATTTGTTGGAACATTATTGTAAAATTTAAAATAATCAATAAAACAATTGGTATTAGTTCCAAAATGTATAGTTTTTCATTCAAAAAACATACGTTTCGGCTTTTAAGCCATTATCAAAGACTACACAGGTAAACAAATTTAAATAACAGCCGAAACGAACGTTAGGATTTTTTTTTAATAAAAAATATTTAGGAACTAATACAAAGTGTTTTATTGACTATTTCAACTCACATAATTTATATTTATACATTATTTGTACATAAATTAGTAGCATTCAAATTGAAATTGAAACCTGTTAATGCTGAAAAAACTTGCCCATTTCTAAACAAGTTTTAAATAATCAGGTAGATTTACAATTAATTAAAATGAAAGAATAAACGTAGTTGTATATGTATACATATATTGTAATAATACTGTTAGGTATATTAATAATACTCTTACCAGCTGAAATAAACTTTAAAAAATAAAAGATAATATCCTTAAGTAGTCCAAACTACAAAGTGCGAAAAACAAGATAAAAGTCTCAACTTACATTAATTTCTAGGCGCATAATAATGTTTACTTTAACTTGATAGCTAATCATGTAGGCAAATCTCGAGGAACACTCCAAATGAAATAGGTATAGCTATCAAAATAATTAGAATTTCATAATCATTTCCACTAATATTTAAGTAATAAAACAAAAAAATGTGATTAATTAAAAACTTGGATCGAAGGATTTTTTGCGGTCATTTGAAATTTTATTCGTAATATACACTTTACCTAAGTAGGTACTTATACTCAGCAAAATTTTAAACCATAAAAATATAGGAACGTGTTTTGTGACAAATGCTTATGATAAAAGGTTAGTTCATTATAAAAATGATTGAAAAAATAAACTTATGATAATTTGCACAAGCAGATAGATAGGCACCTATATTCAACAAAATTTTAAGTCATAAAAATGTAGGAACATGTTTTGTGATAAATGCTTATCATATATAGTTAATTTATTACAAAAATGAATGAAAAAATGAATTTGTACAATCAGGTAGGTACCTATATCTTCTGATAGCGTCCGCGTACTTTGTACCTTGGCTGGTTAAATGGCAAATTGAATATTTCCTATTTGGTTTAGAATCCATTAAAACTTTTATCATAATTGCGAGTTGCGAATACATATAGTTAATGTACCACCTAAATGGACTTTGAACCTCAATAAGGGGAAACTGGTTTAAAAATACCTCACTGCGTTTTAGTTTACTATTTGATAAAATTAAAAATTAAATAATTGTTTATTCAGGCAAGTACGATAATAATTTCTTGAAATATAGGCAAGTCAATTTTGGAGTAGGTCACGACAAAAGTTCGTTTACCTTAACGAATCTACTTGCCTGGTGTTCAACTTTGTGTGGAAAGTACAAAACGCCAATGATAGTAAAAGAAAACAAAATATTTAAACATAGACACAAGTTCATGTGGTTTAATTTAAATGATAATAATTTTGTTTATAAACAAGTCGATGTTTGCAACGCATTAGTAAATGGTAAATGCGAACTTGACAGTGACAGATACATAACCTCACAAAACACACGTACAAACAAAAATATGATTGGTGATAAATTAAAATACATTTTATAAATGTAATGAATTTCATTTCTGGTGAAAAAACGAAAGAGTATATGACACTCTCTTATAAATACAGTCATATAGTAAATAAAATTTAGTTAAACTTACCAAATTTATGTTGATAGACAATGAAAATTTCTTTTGGCCGTTCTTTGGCGTATAAGTTCGTAAAAACGTAAACTACCGGTTAACACATACACTTACTATTACATAAATTGACTGTCTAATTCAAAAGCGTTACATTTAACATTAACATAATCCAACTGCATTCGACAGATAACACACATATAAGAACATTCAAACGGTACAACGGTGATCCAGGACCTAAGTTTTGGATAGGTTTTCTAACCAATGAAAACGATTTACGTGAAGGAGGGAGCGTGGCGTGATACTACGTCACGAAATATGCCTACAAAATCAATAATTTTAACGATGTTTACTTTGCATTAATGAATACAAACGCAATTTCTAAAATAATTGAAAACTGATGCGTATTTAAAAAGTTATAGTATATTCAAAAACAATTTCAATATATGTAGCTAGGCTTATTATTTCATTAATAAAAGTATTTTGTAAAACTGAAAGGTTAGTTGATATTAATGAAAGTGAGGGCAGCACGTACTTGGCATTTGGCACGTATACGAAACGATTTTCTGTGTTCATCTCTGTAAAATGGTTATCTGTGGTGATGACAGATGGCAATTTGGCAGTTGTCTAGTCTATGGCAGTTGCCATAAACAGGCCATAAATCTGACTACAAAAGGGTTATGTGTATTAAACACAGACAATATAAAGCATTAAGTGTAATAAATTTTTAATAAGTATTATTTGCAACTTAATGATTAATAATGACAACTGAGAATGTTTGTGAAAAGTCTATAAGATTGTTAGTAAAATATGTAAGGTTATTAAAAGGTGACATAAGTAACAACATTTTGAAGTCGTATTACATGTAAGTTGGAAATCTATAATTAAACTGTTTAAATGCATTAGTCTCTTCAAATCGTTTCTTTTTAACAAATTTTATTCGCTCTAATATCATGAAATTAATTTATTTTAGGACTCTCGTAGTAGATAAAAAATTTACTTTTTGTTTTATTTCTTGTATTCCATCTTAGCAGTGATAGTATTTGTTTATAGATCACGATGTAAAAAATTATGCAACAAAGAAAATTATTCTGTGCCGAAGGTAATATTTGACACAACAAAGAGATGTTCTAAGTGCTATACTGCATATAGTGATTGCTGCCCTTCTTACAAAATTTTAAAACATAGTAAAAGGAATAGGTTTACGAGAAGATTAATTAAAAAAATTCAAAATAAGACAGAACTGACTTCTTTTCAAGCTAAAATCAGTAAATCTCTTCAAAAAAATAAAGAAACAGTTAATTCAAATACTTTGGTAAGAATAAGTAACTACTAATATTAAAGATCTTAAGTATATTTAAATTTCAGCTAATCACTTGCAACGTTTGTCATAATAAGGGAATAATATTATTAGAAAAACCTGTACCTAAATTATCTAATATTGCTCATCAAATTGATCAGAAGAAGAAAAAACGTAAAAGAAAGGACCATTTGGCAGGCTTAAATGCAAAGTATGTTTTATCAAATAATAAACACAAAAATTCTATGTTAAATATTCAACCAGTGGAAATAAATTCTAAAAAGAAAGTAAAACAAAAGCGGCATCTTTTAACTAATGTGATGAGTAAAGTAGACACCTCGATAAGAAGTCCATCTTATTCTCTTGGCGACTTTTTAAGTACTTTATCCAAATAATTTGTTTTTTTTTTGTTGTGTAAAATATAAAATATGTTTGCATAATTAATACACATGATAAGTACAATAACGTATTGTAGTTTATATTATTCTTGCCAAACCTTTAGGTTTAAACATTATTTGTGTTTTGTTTCAACATATTTCAGATGTGTTTTTGATAATTAGGAAATCATTTTAATTGTATGTGATAGTTTTAAGCCCTGTACCTAAATTGAAACAATTTGATGTTCAAACACAAAGTCAAATATTTAATGGATCTTTATATTACAAACTTGGAATCAATTAATTTAATATAACATCAATATTAATCTTAATGAACTTAAAATGAAGTGATATTTATTGTTTGGTTACAATAGTAGATGGGCATTTATTTTTCATGGAAAAAAAATAAAAAACTTATAAAATAACTATTAGAATCCATTGGGGAAATTTTACTCAAGAGGTATTTGTTCCATAACAATCTGAAAATTAATAAATTTTTGACATCCTATAAGAGAATTAAAAACACTTCCAAAGCATACATAAATTCAATAAGCAGCTTTTTGATATTTCTTTAAAAGGAGTAAGGTAAAATTTGCAAAAATAGGGCAAATAAGCTATGCTACAAAGTCTAAGACTATATCATACATATTTATATTATTAAATTGAAAAAACTACTCTATTTAAAATTGTATAAAAGAGCGTAAGCAATAAATTCGTGAAGATACTGATAACAGAAATTTTATGCAAATTACGACCATAAACGCAATTCGGTAAAGTCAAAACACAATTCTGGTACAGCAGTCAGTTTTTATTAATTGGCATATGGAGTTGTGGAGGAACTTTATCAAAGAGATTAAACAATGGTCTGATAAATACTGCATATTCTTTGAAGAAGTTAAAAAAAAAATACTTTTTTGTGTGTAAACACACAAGTAAAAAATTTCGCTTAAGTAATGATGATAAAAGCAAAAATTGAGGCTTAATATTAGTTATTTAAAATTATGCAACTCTCAGGTTATTGACAGAAATAATTACATAGTTCGATTAAGGTATGCAGCAACCCAATCACAAATAATGAAGGCGCACTACACACAATTTATTGAAATCAGAAAAGTTTTAAACTTGAGAGTGGGCGCATTGACAGACTATATGAGCGTGTTAAACATTTATTAAGACCTACCTTAGCACACATATCGCGATATTGTTTTTCGGTCGAATTTGCCGGTCTCTCAGGAAGTTCTTTACCTCGTCTACGAATTTCCTGGCTGATCTCGCCCAAGTCAAGGATAGGTACGGGATCCAGCTTATGTCTGCCAATGAGCCCAACTAAATACTCGATGTAGTGCAGCCTACACACACAAACACAACACATCAAAAAAGTTCGTACACTGTTCTTAAAGTATGACTTTTTTGTTTTGGGAAACAATATTTAATAAAAAAAAAAAAACACCAAGAAGCGAACAGTGTACCATCATGTTCTGTACCTGAGCAAGACGTTTACGATAAACTTCTCTTGGTGTGCCGAAAGCATTTGGTGGCAATTTTTTAGCTGCTCTACGAACTACAGTTTCTAAATCATCGGCTGATAAAATTGATATTGGATCTAAACTGTTCTTCTTAATTAACGAGCAAAGGTATTCTAGGTAATGAGCCCTAAAATGATTTCTAGTAGTATCTGGTTTTTCTTTGTGTGTTAAAACTGTATTAAATGTATCGAAAATCACGCAAAAAAGAAATGTGTATAGAGAGGAATTGATTATTATATTAATTATTTTTGTAAAAGAAAATAACAAGGTATGGTTTCTAATCGAAAAAAAAAAAGATTGGAAAACCCAATAAAATACTTTTTCTACCCCGTTGTAGACTAAAAATTGTCTTATCTACCCACCTCTTCTGAAACTTAACTAGTAGCAAATAGTAACTATCCTCTTCTGCTTCTTGAGATAGATTTGTTATTTTAATATATCTTACACTTTTATAGAATAAATGGATAACGCACATATTTTTACCTGCATAATCCTGCTTGCCCTGGCGAAACTTCGTTGTTACACACTGAATCAATTAAACCTGCAGGAGTTTCTTTTTGTAAAGAAACAGAACATTTTAATACTGCCGTCGCATTTTCTTCTTTATCACCTGGCACTTCTGTGTCAAAAGATATTCGGTGTTCCTGCAGTTTTTAATATAATATTAAAAAAGTTAAGATCTGAAATGCTACAACATATTTTAATTTTGTCGATTTAAAAAAAAACTATATAGGTACTAGTTGTTCAGGAGATATAGCATAATCTCTGCACCACTCGATAGAAACTAAAGATTATTGTTAAACGTTTCTTTTTCATTTTTCTCAATTCCACGCGTACTTATTTACAATTTTGAGTGGAAAATTAACTTTTCTGATGCAACTGGAGAAGTACAGAAGACACGAAGTGGCTCACATTTATAAAAGATGCGGGTGCTGGTTGGTGGCGTTGGTCCAATGAGCTAATTTTTTAATTGAAATAGTAAAAAAGTATGCATGAAATAGGCATATACATAGATAAAAGACTTTTCGCCTCGAATTTTTATTTTCAACTAGCGTTAACTTCGTGACTGTTGCCTTCGCCTACCGCAACTTTATAATCCTAAGCATATCCGTCAAATCAGACATTTGGCCAGCTTGTATACTATCCAATATCCAGCTAGTTTACAAACTAGCCAAGTTAACATTAATTTCTCATTTCAATTGATAAAAAGCCAGAAAGTAAAAGTTTAGGTAGTATTGCGGATATTTAAACGTTTTTTGATTGTAATTCTTTTGCTTTCTTCATATTATTATGCACTTCATTGCTTTACTAACCTTTAACAAATGTTGTAATTCTTGAGGTTCTTTGTCCCTAAGATAAAAGAGACAGTTTCTTGGGTGATGAGCGTGAAGTCCTAACTTTCCACAATACGTACTAACACCACATTTTGCTCCCATCATAAACGTTTTTCCACAGCCATAACAGAATTCATGTTTGCACTGGGTACAAGTGAAATGCATACAACCTCCTCGAGCTAATGAATACCTAAATTTACACTTGGGACAATCAATTCCGTTTTCTTGTAAATGCTTAGCTACGGCCGTCGCTTGGTTATCTGGATCGTTAGCATCTTTCCATTCCGCAAACTTTTCACATGAGATGCCTTCATGTTGTTTCTCCCACTGGAAAAGAATAGGAAAATGTCCCTAAAGAAATTTTTGAAATTTTATAATTTAAGGCTTACTGGTCGTCGACAATTAGTACATGTTACAGATTTGCAGTCTGGGCATATGAGCCTTTTCTGCTTTGGATTGGCTATGAATCCTGATGAGCACTGTAATTTTTAGTAATAAATAAGGGTATATGTTTTGAATATTGTTAAAAGTTTTACGAACCTGAACACACCATCGGAAATTAGGATCTAACATAAGGGTCCTATCCCGCAATTTCCTTTGGAACAATTCATGAATTTCGCAATCTAAAATACCTTTTAGAAGAATATCCAAATTTGAAAAATAATCGGATATGTCATCTTCAGTTGTCTCAGATGAGCCAAGATTTGGGAGTTTACAAAATGGACAAGAAAGATCCATCACGTTCTTATCGGTTACTTGAATGGTGAAGTAATTTTTAGCACAGTCTCCACAGCATCGATGAGTGCATTTAAGCATTGAGACCATCTAATGGTGAAAAATAATTACTTAGTTAATATACTTTCTCATAATGATTTGAAATTTGTTAATAATTTAAATTAAAATGGATTATTCAGTCCAAAATTTTGCAATATCAGTTTAAAGTAAAATAATTCTTAGAAGTACCTGACTCATTGGATATTTCTCAGTGCAGAGTTCACAATCTTGTTGTAAATAAGCAACTGCAGCATCCAGGGTATTGCATTCTTTAACAGCTTCTAAAGCCGCTTCCGACGAAAAATTCAGACGCATTAAGCTTACTGCAAGCTCTGCCTGGTCATAGTTTTCCACCTGACCTTCGGCCAACAGTCCCCTTGCTTGTCTCTGAGAAAATATAGAGTAGAATTTCTTTATATTAGCTAAAAACAATTATAATAATTTTCTCAAACTGTTAATTTTAAATACTGAAACGAGTATTTAGACTTTTTATGTAAAAATAAAAGAATAATATGTAATACATTAAACAAAAAGTGCGTTTACAGTTTCTAAATAAATGTTTTGTAAATAAAGACAAACAAAAGGGGAAGAAACACGTGCTATTCATTAAAAACACATTTTACACTATTTATTAAATTTGTTTTTGTCTAGGATTTTAATATTGTACAACCCCCTAGTAAAGTATATAAAAAGAAATTTTACTATGTTTCTGCTGATGTATTTTATTAGCATTTTTCTTTATAATAATTTTGGAGGTATCTTGGATAGGTACCTACACATTTTCTAATTTTCCAGGTACAAATTTAGCTTAAGATCGTTTTAACTAATAAAATATTTTTTCCGATTGTAAGGGGATGCGTATAATATTAAAAATTCAACATTTAAAAAATGACCATCGAAAACTGATTTTTTAGTGTTTAAGAAAAACAAGAAAAAGACGAAAACTTAAAACTCTTAAAATTTGTTATTACCTCTAAAATTTCTAATTCAGATGGTTCTCTTACAAAAAAAATTGTGTTATTAATGCTACTAGATTTATTATTACTTTGCTCTTCAAATTCGATACTTTCTGAATTTGATCCAGTATTTTCATTATCAACTTCTATCTCTTCCACTTCTTCTATTTCTTCATACTCATCCGTTTCGCAAGTTTCCTCAATAAAATAATGTTTCTTTTTCTGTTTAACTTCGTTCTCATTTTCAATTAACGGCGATAAGTTCTTTTTCTTATCGAAAATATTTCTCCCTTCATTTGCGGCATCCACGTTCAGTCTTGAAAGGCTCTCCTTCTTCCCATTTGAATCGAAATTATTGCCGATTTCATCGATTTCTTCATCAAAAGCATCAAATTCATTGTAACCATCTGAACTATCTGATAACAGTTCTTCGACGTTACTATCTGATACTGAAGAATCGCTGTCGTTATCCAAAGATTTTGTATACGAAACTTGGGTGCAACTTCCAATTGAATCGATAGAACTTGTTTTAGTTGAAGAAAGACTTATTTTCTTTGAAGCATTTGTAAGGTTCAATTGCCTATTAATTTCTTTTACTGTGTTAACTGTATTTTTCATTGTTATAGCTATATTTTCGGAATCTTTGGTTTGATGTTTTGCTAAATCATCCTCTGACGTAATGCTAGCATCACTTATGATTTCTTCATCTGTACTTGTGGAGTGTTCGTAAGCAGACACGTCAAATGCATGCTTTTGAGGACTCATGTCGTTGTCAGGAGATATACACTGGGTAACTTCTGGTTCCACCTCTTTATTCTTCCGTTTAGAGTTATCAGCGGTACGAAAACTGGTGCTTTCGGCATTTTTTGTCACATTGGTAAATGTTCTGGATTTAATAGGTATTCTGCTACCTGTGTGAGACATTTCTAGTGATTTTCTTTCATTTCTTAAAATAGAGCGCTGACGGGATATTGGTATTTTGGATGGACGGATTTGTGGAAGCGTGATTGAAGTTTGTTCACCTTGTGCTAATTGCACTGTTGTAGATACTTTTAATTCTTTTATCAACTCTTCTGAAGTATGATTTTGTGTGTTTTTAGTTTGAGTAATTATTTTAGAGGGCATTTTTTCAGATTTTGTATTTTTATTTTTCTCATTGTTAATTGCTATTTCTTTTGAATCGTCTTTCGAAAAATTTTTTTGATTGTCTTTTTGTTGAGCTGGTGTAGGAACAGAATTAAAAAGAGATTGTGCATTTTTCTTCTTTTTCTTACGGGTTTTTCGCCTTGGAATTACTGGTGGAAAATTTGCTTCTGAATTAGTTGATTCATCATCAATCGGTGGGGCTATTTTAGGCGTGGTTGGGAGAAAAAAATTCGACCTATTTTCACTATTTGCAGAACTTTCTTTTACACAATCTTTTTTACTTTCGTTTTCTGGTTCTATATCACCGGAATTCAAATTTATATTAACTGTATTTTTGAAGCTACTTTTTAATGATGAATTACGGATTAATTTATTTTTGCTGGAATCATCTGTGGCCTGTACCTTTAAGGGTAATTTACTCGACTTATTTAGATCTTGATTTAAAAAATTGTCTGATTTATTATCACTTGAATGTGAAGGTACATTTTTAGAATCTTTTTTCAGGGTAACATTTAATTCGCTTATATTTTCTGTAGAAATATTTTCTATATTCTCCGTTGATAGTTTTGGGCTTTCGTTAGGGTTTGTGATAATTATTTCTTTTCTTTGTGGATCAAAATCGTCTTCAAAATCTTTAGAAGCATCCAAAAATTCTAGATCACTTTCTGATGTCGTTGTCACGCTTTCGCTTTCATTTGTGTCTATTGTTTTTGTGATAATTTTTGTAGCTTCGCCTGGAGTTTGCTGATTACTGTTGTTTATGATATGGATTACGGTGTTACTCTTTTCTACAATTATTTTATTATCTATAACATCCGTTTCTGAAGATGCAGATTCTCTGCTAGTACTCCTGATTGTAACAGATTGTTTCAATTTTGAATCTTTATTATCATTTTTGTTTGAAAGGACACTCACGTTTCTCTGTTCAGTATTTTCCGCAGAGTTTTCGCTTTTCTTTACAAGTTGGAAGTCTTTTTCGGCTTTGTTAGGTTCTGGGTAAATAATCAAATTTGAGACATGTTTAATTTCATCGTCTTTATGTTCTAAAGAGTCTATTTCTGCATTTGATTCTGTTTTTAAATTAATTTGTACAGAACTTTGTTTTGGACGATTTTCTTGATCAGGGATGTTTTGATAATTTGATGAATTAGTTTCTTTGTTATTATTAGTCGAGCACACTTCAGCTTGTAATTTGTTGCTTTGTATGTTGTTGATAATAAGTTTCTGAGGTTTCACACCATCCATTTTTTTTATTTCTAATTTAAAAAACGATATTTTATCTTCTTCCTGTTTCGAGTTATCTTGAAGATTTAGATTGTTATTAGAATCACTCACCGCTTTGACGCTATCTGAATTATCCCTTTCAAAACTATTAGCAGTTTTTATATTCCCTGTAATTAAAAAGAAACATCGCTTATTTTTCAGATATAAAAATAAAAGTAAAAGTTGAAAAAAATTAAAGATAAAAAGTAAAATGAAATAAAAAGTGGATTTGGGTGTTTCAAAACACTCTTCAAGGATTTCTCCAGAATGATATAATAATAATATAATATTCGCTTTGTTAATAATTCTATTTTGTCACGAATTTTATGCAAAAATTGCTGGTTGTGATAAAATTGTTTATAAAAGATTCTGCCTTTAATAGGAAATAGACATGAGAGAAAAGTCTGTAGGTATTAAATATTTCAGAAAAAAAAAACGGATTAGAAATTAGANTGCTGAACAACATATAAATTGGCATTTTATTCCCCCGCGCTCCCCGCATTTTGGTGGATTGTGGGAAGCTGCTGTTAAATCTTTGAAACGTCATTTAGTTCGGGTAGTAGGAAACACTCTCCTCAGTTTTGAAGGTATGCTAACCTGCATAACTGAAATAGAAGCAATTCTAAATTCCCGGCCCTTGACCCCGCTATCCTCAGATCCAAATGACCTATCTGCCCTAACTCCCGGTCATTTCCTTATTGGTGATTCGTTAACGAGCATGCCAGATCACCAACTAGAGGAAGTACCGTCCAATCGCCTATCGTCTTGGCAGCAAGTTATCCAGATAAAACAGCACTTTTGGCGTCGTTGGAAACAGGAATATCTCCACGAATTAACTGTTCGTAAAAAATGGCACACTGGATCAACCAAAGACATTTCCTGCGGCACATTAGTCTCCCTTATAGAGGACAACACTCCACCGTTGAATTGGAAACTTGGGCGTGTTATTGCTGTTCATCCCGGTCCAGATGGCATCATACGAGTAGTGACTGTGAAAACAGCAACAGGTGAATTCAAACGAAGTGTCAAAAAACTCGCTCCGTTAGCGATAAGTGATAGTGATCGCGATTCATCAGATTCATTAATTAATTGAACATGATAGTTCAAGGGGGGCGGTATGTTGGGGCGCAATTCATGATGCGCCTTTTGAACAACGAAAAACATTTGTGTATTTCGCAGTGTTAAGTTTATAATAACGTGCCTGCAACAAAGGAATGTTATCGTTATTGTATTTAGGTTTTTCCTCGGCAGGTAACGTCCCTTCGCGTTAGTCACCAGATGGGTCGATGGTCTTTCCATCCACAACAATATTCTGATTTTAGTCACGTAGTCACTAACCGTAGCCTAAGGTCAAAAACACCCCACTAACGTACCTCCACCCCCTATATTTTCTTGTCATATTTAAGCATTTTATCTATCTAAAAGTTCATTAAGTTTTCATGTTTTCAACCATTTAGTTTTCTCTGCCAAGTTCAATCAATTATCTATTCAGTTCATCAGTAGTTCATTCATTGTAGTTATTTTTAAGTGTTTTTTTTTGGTGTTAGTTTAAGTGTATGTTGATTATTAAAAAGTTAAAAATCACATAAGTCGTTTACTGCTCGTACTGCTCCAAGAAGAATACCACCGATAGAAAATATTCGGCCGTTATATCTAAAAAATAGACTTCGATAAATTAATTTTTATCGAAGAGGGTTTAAGTGTTCCTTAGGAAAATCTAGGCCAGCAACACACCCGCAACATTCAACACCCCCTCTCGTCCTGGTCAGAGACCACATTTGCATTACCTCCCACACAGGTGTGCCGTCACATATTTTGCAATTTTAAATTTCAAAATTGCTAAATTAAAACAGTGCCTCCAAAATCACGGTGGTGGTTTTTGTCAAAATCTTAAATGCGGTATTAGTTTTTTGGCGTATGTTAAAGGCGTATTGTCAACTCGCGCAACCGCCACGTGCGATACAAACAAATATTAATCTTATAATAGGTAATATTATAGTTGGTAATGTAAATAATAAGACTTTTTAAATTGGCCGTTCTTCTAAGGGAGATGTAGGAGTATTATCGTTATTTAAAATTGACAGATTTTTAACCGCGGTTTCGTCCGTGTGAAACTTGGATTGTTACAACCAATAAAAAATTAATAAACAGTTAAAAAAAAGTAGCCTTGATCATTCCTGACAATTTCCCCTTCATGTCCATAAAGACCCATCGAATTCTGTTTAATCGTTTCGAAATTTCCCGCAGATATCTAGATAGTACATCTTCCAATTTTGTTTCTGTGTATAGAATAGCTTATTGTGCAAATAAAGCGTGTTATTCGAAAAGAAAAGATAATAAATAAAAGGAAAAAAGACGAGAAAATCATATTTCAAATATCCAAAGTTGATTAGTTTCGAATGAACAAATAAACATTTAGGTGTAAATGTAGTCGAGATCACAAAAATAAACCTGCACTGTCTATTTGCTGTCTGTCGTTTGAATGTTACCTACGCCAACAACTATCTAACAGATCAATTTGATGAAACATTTATTAGGTACTGTATATGTAGATAAAATATCAGCAACTAAGGTATAATTAATTGTAAAAAGGGAAAGTATAAAAGCAGGATATGCAAATACATTATAAGTTTAATTTGTATCTAATCAATGAAAGATGATATACATGATATACCTATATAAATAGTTTAAAGTAGTATAAAACACATATATCGTTGCCGAAAAAAAGTCAGCTAGATTATTTGCAAAAGATTAATTTTTAGTATTTTAATTAATAATTAAAATTGCAGTTACTCAATACTAAGTAAAATACAGAAATGCCGTACAGTTGGACCAGAAATGCCGAAAAAAAAATTATTTATTGTATATATGGAGAAGGAGAATGCCAGATTTCGGGGACACCTTTTTAAGACGTTTACTTTATTTAAATAAATACTTCTAGTCTTAACATTAGCCTCTACAGTTCATGTGATAGATTTATTAATATTACTGATACTATCCGTTTCTGCAGCTTTAGGAGAAATAAGTTTTTCCAAATTAAAAATAATAGAAAATAATTTAAGATCATGAATTGATCAAGGTAGGCTCAGCGGATTGACATTAATTTCAATAGAAAATGGGGTGGCAACTACATAATATTATANTAAAATTTTTTTCAAAAAAAATTGGCTTTTGATTTTTATTAAGATTTGGCTTGTTCGTTAAAATCCTTTATACATATTTATTTGAAAGTAAACAGGCTTAAAGTTCAATACACAGGATTTTTTATTTTGCTTTTTATAAGTCTTCTTGTGAAAGTTTTGAATGTTGGGATATTTTGGGTGTAAACGACTTTGATGGCAACAATCATAAATGTGGCACTACCGTAAAGGTCACTGTGCTTATAAATAGGTTATGCGGTGTTAAACATGGCGTCAAAAACCGACAAGAAGTAAATAAAACTGACAGTTTAAATTTTTGTAGAATATTGTTGGATTTAATCACTTTTGTTCACTATGTATTTTATGTCTGATTTTTGCCGAGTTTGCCTTCAAGGGGAAAAAGGACTTAAAGACATTATGAAGGACAAAGAAACTCCCGATAGTTTATACAGCAAATTAAAGTTATGTGTGTCAGAAGTTGTAAGTGTGTACTTTTTATTAGTTTTATAAAATAACGAGCGTTCTTTTTTTCAGGATTGGTGTATGTATAAGACTATGTTTATATGTGAGAAGTGTGTAATTAAGTTGAACACAGCATTTGAATTCAAGTGTCAGTGTATCAAATCTACAGAAATTTTAAGAAACTTTTTAAATCAATTGGGTATTGAAGAAAGTAAGACTGACGTGAAACGACATGAAGTAAATTCAACAATTGTAGAAGAAAATTTAAAAGCATCAAAGGATAAATCGGACTTAAATCCAGCATCTTTTGTTCATGTAAGGCCTGATCAACAACTATTTACACCTGGCCACTTACAAAATGTGATAGTTTCTCCTAGTGCAACACAAAGTGTTTTTCCTAATCTGTTTTTTAATCTAATCCCAACAAATTTATTGAAAGCTTCAAGCCCACCTCCTTTAAGTTCTGTTAGTAGGCTTCCACTATCAAAGACTGCTCCTCAAGCAAAAGATGCAAATCAAAATATGTTTGTGAGCATTCACAGATTTTTTCCTGTAATTTCTCCAACAAAAGATAGTACCATTATTCAGTCATCAACAAATCATAGTGTTATGCCATCTATTTCAACAAATAATGTTCAACCAGAAATTACAAGACCTGTAGTTAAATCAAAGGAAGTTTCACAAATATTAACTGAAAACAATAGTGAAGAGTTAAGCATTGAGATTGATCCAGCATGTTTTGATTTAGAAGACGAGGAGAGTCCAGACAGTATAAATAAGTCAGAAATGAACATTTTAAGAGACTGGGAAGATGTTATTGTAAGTAACAAGATATCCTCTGAGCATGACAATATAAATATCAGAACATCCTTAAATAACTCACTTCCTACTTTAAACAAAATGCTGGAAGTTAACAATAGCCCTGCACCTCTTGACATAGGAAGTATTCATAAACGAAGTAATACTCACAATCCACATAGTGCCAGTATTTCAATTGTCCCAAAACAGCAGGTATGTGTACTCAGTTACTTTGAGAATAAAATAATTCTTTATAATTTNACAGAACAACGGAATCGGATTCGATGTTTAAATCTTCGATTTTTTCTGCACTTGTCGAAACGTCTGTAACAATATATATCAGCCTTGTAAAAAGATTCTGCCTTTAATAGGAAATAGACATGAGAGAAAAGTCTGTAGGTATTAAATATTTCAGAAAAAAAAAACGGATTAGAAATTAGACCTACCTTCCCCACTAATATGTTTAAATGTAACCTCCTCATTTCCCGCCTCGTTATCTGTACCAACAGGTGGTCCCCAAATTCGCATTAAAAACGGTTTTATCTGAGTCTTATTAAGTTCCGAAAAAGCCATTTCTACATCTCCATGGTGTGCCGTCAACACTGTGATAATATCTTCCCTACTGAAATCACCTCTAGAGGCAAGTTCAGCATACTAGAATAATTAAAAATTATTTTTACTCTATACAATGTAGAAATGCTTACTTTTCTTTGTCTTTGTTCTACACATTCCGTGACGGCTGCCCAAACGTTGCCCTTGTGGCGACAGAGAGCATCCCTGGCTTCTTTCTCAGAAACGGTCCCAATTATGTTAATGGGACCTTCACGACCAACTTGGGTGGACATCGTCTGAACACTCGCTACAGTGGCAGTCCAGTGCTGTCGCAACCAATCGATAGGATTCTGATTACCACAATGGATTAATGCGGCTTGAACCTCATCCGCAGTATATTTGAAATGTTCAGCTTCCTAAAAATTAAAAGAGTAAAATTATTTAATTAATCTCAATGTAAAATAGCGGATTATCTTGTTAGACTAATTATTTCTATTTAAATATGTTAAAGAAATATAAGTAAGAAAATTACAGATTGTCTGGAATTAGAATCTCTGTGTTTCTACGATAAGGCTTTTAAACTTTTGGAACTTAAAACGTCGATTGTAAGAAGAAAGAGAACATTCCCTAAATGATGAATAATCTTAATAAAAAGTAGAATAAAGTAATAATATTGTTAAATAAAAATGATCAATCTATTGAATACTGGGAAGGCATAATTTACATTGTGTCTACTCACCCTCAAAAGCTTCACTAGTTCAAGGCCTTGATTTTTGAGTGTATCATGTTTCTGGTAGGGTATATCAATTAATCGGTTAAAGTGTTCAGCGTTTTCAACAAGTCCATGTGGATTGTCGTATCTCATTAATCGTTGACCAGGGTATTCGCTCTGCAAAAAAAAAAATACATTTAAGAAAAAAAAGAAGCAGGTATTACAATAAAGATTTTAATTCTAAGCAGTTAATATTGCGTTAATGTTAGTAATAATTATTAGCAAAGATGTTTTAAAAGAATGATAATGATAATAATCTGATATTTCGTGTATTATTAAAACACATCAAAGCCTTATACTGACACATCATTAAGTACAAAAACTATAATATAAAAGTATGTATGTACACTAGTTAAAAAAATGTGTAAAGAATATCTAAAATTAATTAATTACTTAATTTGTCAAATTCTCCTGAAAGAAACTGTATAACAACATTAAAATAAACCCATTTCAAAATTTGTAGATTGAGGCTCCACTTTGGAATGAAGATTGTGCTATTAATACAGATCACTGTATCCTTAAGCAGCAAAGAACCAATAAAAAGTTACAACACCAATTTATTATTAAAAAAGTATTATAAACGATAAGAAGAAAATGACAACTGATGATCGTTTTAAATTTTAATAGTTCATTTTATATGTATTTCAACTGATCCTTTCAAGTAAATGGTCGGATTAATAATGGGCGTTTAGTAAAAATTAATTATAATTTAAAAGAAATTACACCCACACATTTAACGAAAGAAGAACATTTTTTCTGAGAAAGTAAAGCGGTAAAACCTCATAAAAGAAAAAGAACTGCTCTAAGATCGCTATTTAGAAGCACAAAGAGTACTGTGGGTTGTGAGTAATAGTAGTAGTAGTAGTAATGGAGGGAAGCACATATTCATAGTAGATATATTCACACCCTAAAATCTTTATAACGAAAATCTGGTTGACTTGCTCTACGTTTTGAATAGACTGCTTTATCTAAATCCACACTGTTTGTCCTGCTAGATCTCGGCAATGGAAACTTTTGTTGAACTGGGGTGTCATATCCGAAAGGACTCTGATCCCTTACTGGGGAGCCAGGTAAACTCTAAAAATACAGGTGTGATTAGTAGATTTAAATAAGCTTATCAAAATGAAATTACGAAAATTCAAAAAGAAATATGTAACTGAAATAATATAGGATATATATACCTATTTTATACTCCACAAACTTAAAAACGGACCCATGTTTCGCCCACTTTGAACGTGGGTATTATTATTGTGACGTAAGAACAAAATTTCTGGAGTATACGAATAAATCTCTTTAATATTCTATTTACTATTATCATTTTTTAAATACAATTGTGAATTTAAATAAATTAAACGGAATTAAAAAAAGTTTTGAGTAAAACTATTTATAAAACAAAATCAAAAACTACGGCGTATAATTAATAAAAATAATATTAATATTGAATTTACTAAACACCTGTGATCCTGTGGAAAAGGACAATCTGCTGAATGACATTGTAGATTCATAATCAGCATCTGTAGCTACTGATTCATGCAAGGATTGTGATCGAAGGAGATCTGGTCGTCGACTATTTCTACTAGATGTTCTTAGTCTTCCTCTTGAAGATCTCGATACACTTCTTTGTTCTAAAGGTTCAATAACGTCGTAAGTCTGTACAAAATAATTTGATCAACTGTAATATATTCTGTGAAGTAAATAATAATTATAATGATTGCATATGAAGAGAGCATAACTTTAAAGAAAATAATAATTGGAAATAACTTACTTGCGTTGAGATACTCTGAGGAGGAGGTGATGTTCCCCTTGATTCTTTCTGTTTGTCTGACGAAACTTTTGATTTTTTAGCCTGTTTTTCTTTAAACAAACGTTTACTATTTTTAGTAGTCGCGTCTTTTGAAGTTTTTCGTTTTTGTTTACTACCATCATCATTTAAAAAGTACTCTTCACTAGTGTTTAAGTCAGTAATACTTGATGTAGTTCCGATGGACAGAACAACGGAATCGGATTCGATGTTTAAATCTTCGATTTTTTCTGCACTTGTCGAAACGTCTGTAACAATATATATCAGCCTTGTAAAATACTAGTCAACTCCTAATTTCACACACTGCACTCACAACTTGTAGTTTTTTTAGTACATACGTATATTAATAATGATTATTATTATTAATATTACTTCACTAGGTACACGAATATACAACAATAACTGCAAACATAATAATCACAACACAAAAAGAGATTTGGTTAAGGTTATTTGTTTTGGAAGGATGAAAATTTTGTTCCAGGCCAAAACGATATCTTTCTACTGGTCCTACCTTTCTTTTGGCTGTTTGTATTAGTAGTAAGTTTATTGTTCCCTTCGGAGTTGGAAAGGTTCAAATCTTTTCCAAACTTATTCAGAACAGATTCAGTTTCACTACAATATTTACTATAATCATCACTGGATCTGCTTCTTTGTAAGATTTTCGATTCCTTTATCTTTATTTGGGCCGAAGGGCTTTTTTGTAGTGGTATCTTTTCTATAACACGTCCAGTTTTCTTTTTTGCATTTTCAATAAGTTTGGCGTTTGCCGTAGGTGTTTTACAACAAATCAGACAAACCCTTGTACCAGCTTCATTGACAAAAGTGCAATGCTCACATTCCCATTTGTCATCGGGTACCTTACATGAAATTTTTGTTTTTTCAGAATCGTCCATTGCATTTGCCATTTCTTCCTCATCCTCTTCCAATAATTCTTCACTTTCTTTTTGACTTTCCGAAGGATATTCGTCGCTTTCACTGGACGATGCTCTTATGCTTCGATGACTTCTTGCAACTGAAGCTCTATCGCTTCTGTCAACGGTACTTTTTCGACGAATATCTCGTGGAACTGAAGCGTGATCTCTTAGAGGTCTAGAACGTTCGAAATGTCTTCCACTCAAAGATTTTCTTTCGCTTCTAATCGATTTTCTGTCATCGGAATTTTCAATATCTGACTCGTCAGGCGAAATGTGTTTTCTGCGACTTGCTCTACTCAAGTATGATTTACGTGACTTAACACTGTGAGTTGGTGATGCGGGTCTTGATTGATTGCAAGACTCATGATGCATGTGACATGGTGGCATATTCATTCTATATGGCCATATATTCATAGCAGACGGAGGGGGTCCATGCCATGTTCCCATCCACATTGGATTCATGGGATACCCTCCGGGAATCATGTTTAAACTTAAGTTTGAACCGTTTTGTTGAAATTCACAAGGGTGGTTCCATTTATCCATGCACATTCCTTGGTGACATGTTGGGCAACCAAGCTGTGCTATTGACTGCGCCTGAAGAATAAAAATGTAATGTAAAATCTAAAGTAAGGGTTTTTTCATATAGTTATTGGAACCTTTCAAATTTTATTTCGACCACTGCTGAATTTTTAGATAAATTAAAGTAAAGGTTTAATGTCCCTATAATATGCAAAAAAATATAAATTTAACTTAGCCAACCTGTTGCATGGGTGTAAACATTCCATGTGGTGGACATGAGTTTAAATCAAATACCGACGTGCTATGAGGTAATGGTGTTGGTGATGACATGTTGCTAAATCTACGTTGAAGTGTTGGACGTCCCATTTCAGATCCTGATATACTCCCGGAGCGCAAGTCTCTTTCCCAATCAGGATAGCCACTATCTCTACTTGGAGGCTGTAAGCAAATTAACAATAACTTCACTAGAATGAGGAGAACTTATGAAACATCAATTAAATACACAAAACGCTTTTATTAAATAAATATTGCTTGGGCTATGACCTAAAAGGCCAAAATATATATAGATGGATGTTTGAATAAAACATAACTGAAACATTTAAAGGAATTGTGTGTATTTAATTTAATTAATTTTAGAAATCATCATATGAGCAAAATACATTCATTTACTGTAAACAAGTTCAAGTAATAGTTTAATATTTACCTGATCAAAATGCTCTGACATTGATACGGTGGATGGCAGATTTGGAGTTGTGCCTCTCATAAAGTTCTGATGTTGACGATATCTCTCTTGAAGCAACGGATTTCTAGCGGTTCTAAACTGGTCTGAATTGGGAGATGCTTAAATTGCACAAATAAAAATAAAAAGGATAAAAACAATATTCAATATACAGAGTGCCCCACAACAAGCCTGTATTGATATTTTTAAAACTAAAGTTTGGGATAGAACGAATACTTACAATAATAAAACGTTTAGTTAGTATAAATTATCTTAAAAACTTAGTTTAATTAGAACACCCTGTATATAATCGCTTTTTTCGAAGGTTTATAGATTATTATTATTATGTGTAAAACCTTCAAATTAAAATAAGAGAATGTTTGAAAAAATAAAAGGTAAAACTATGTAATAAAAATAATTAATACAGGCTCGTAGTGGTACCCTTACAAATAAATTACAATAAATTATTATATCACAAAAAGGTAGGATAACAATTTTTTAAATTTGAAGT